ATATATACCCGAAGTGCGTGGAGTTTTACGATCATATTCCACTAGATAGCGCAGCAGCCATCCTAGTAATCATCCTCCTATCACTAAAGTCAACATTTTTAGCAGACAACGGTACAAAAGCGAAAAATCCGATTAGCATTCTTACTATCTGTATTGATAAGAAGTACGTAGGGATCGACATTTTTCATCATAACTTCATGTTATAATAAAACTGGCATAAACATATAAATCAAGTACGAAAGCGAAAAAGTTTATTAACATATATATGTATATATTATTATATATATACACATAAACACACACACACAAATATTATTACACTATTTGTATATATATATATATAATATATATATTTATAAATATATATATATTATATATATAATATATATAATAGTGAGAGAGAAATTCAGCTACATGTAATCTTTTATCTTCCCACTTTTTCGCTTTCGTACTTGATTTATATGTTTATGCCAGTTTTATTATAACATGAAGTTATGATGAAAAATGTCGATCCCTACGTACTTCTTATCAATACAGATAGTAAGAATGCTAATCGGATTTTTCGCTTTTGTACCGTTGTCTGCTAAAAATGTTGACTTTAGTGATAGGAGGATGATTACTAGGATGGCTGCTGCGCTATCTAGTGGAATATGATCGTAAAACTCACGCACTTCGGGTATATATAGACGGCACTACAGGCTCCCTGGTCACCATCAGCACCATGAGGGTCTTAGTGGTTCTTGGGCTTGTCGCTGCTGCCGCCTTTCAGGTGGCCAGTGCAGGTATGTATGGCCAGCTGCATGATGCTCCTTCGGAATTCTTTTATTACTTAATTATTGACGACTATTATTCTGTTTAAAATCTCGAAAGTAATATTCTTCTGATAGAAGTTAATAGTGGAATGATAATGTTTCGTATAATATTGCACTAAAATCTTATTGAGCATATGGCCGAGTCCGAGAACTGTATACTAAGTAGAATATGTGTTTTCTGCATAACATTTTCAAACTGCAGCGATGCAATTATAATAATCTAATGCTTTACATGCTTATCCTTCCAGATGTTCAGCAGCAGAAAGACGTCCTTTATCTCCTGAACAAAATCTATGGAGACATTCAGGACGGAGACCTGCTGGCTACTGCCAATTCCTTTGATCCCGTTGGAAACTTAGGCAGCTACAGTGATGGTGGTGCAGCCGTGCAAAAACTGGTGCAGGACCTTAATGACGGCAAACTCTTGGAGCAGAAACACTGGTTCTCCCTTTTCAATACAAGGCATCGTAATGAGGCACTCATGCTTTTCGACGTCCTCATCCACTGCAAAGACTGGGCATCCTTTGTCGGCAATGCAGCCTACTTCCGTCAGAAAATGAACGAAGGAGAGTTTGTTTATGCCTTGTATGTTGCCGTGATCCACTCGTCTTTGGCTGAACACGTGGTGCTCCCTCCCCTCTATGAGGTCACACCGCACCTCTTCACCAACAGTGAAGTTATCGAAGAAGCTTATCGTGCCAAACAGAAGCAGACGCCTGGCAAATTCAAGTCCTCCTTTACGGGAACCAAGAAAAACCCTGAACAGAGAGTGGCATATTTCGGTGAAGATATCGGCTTGAATACCCATCACGTTACCTGGCATATGGAATTCCCCTTCTGGTGGAATGATGCTTACGGCCATCATCTGGATCGCAAAGGAGAAAACTTCTTCTGGATTCATCACCAACTTACCGTCCGATTTGATGCTGAACGTCTGTCCAATTATCTGGATCCAGTAGGTGAACTCCAGTGGAACAAGCCCATTGTAGATGGCTTTGCTCCCCACACCACTTACAAGTATGGAGGTCAGTTCCCTGCTCGTCCTGACAATGTTAAATTCGAAGATGTGGACGATGTTGCTCGAATTCGAGATATGGTCATCGTGGAGAGTCGAATTCGTGATGCCATTGCCCATGGCTATATAGTTGACAGTGAGGGCAAACACATTGACATCAGTAATGAGAAAGGTATTGACATTCTTGGTGATATCATCGAATCCTCACTATACAGTCCCAACGTGCAGTACTATGGAGCTTTACATAACACTGCCCATATTGTACTAGGCCGTCAAGGGGATCCTCATGGAAAGTTTGATTTACCACCTGGTGTGCTGGAACACTTCGAAACTGCCACCCGTGATCCCAGCTTCTTCCGGCTTCACAAGTATATGGATAACATTTTCAAAGAACACAAGGACAACCTACCCCCATACACCAAAGCCGATTTGGAATTCTCTGGCGTGTCTGTCACAGAGCTAGCCGTTGTAGGTGAACTGGAGACCTACTTTGAAGATTTCGAATACAGTCTTATCAACGCAGTTGATGATGCTGAAGGAATCCCAGATGTGGAAATCAGCACATATGTGCCTCGTCTTAACCACAAAGAGTTCACTTTTAGGATTGATGTAGAGAATGGAGGTGCTGAGAGATTGGCTACAGTTCGTATCTTTGCCTGGCCTCATAAAGACA